TTGAGATGGAATCTCACTCTATTGCCCAGGTTGGAGTGCAATGGTGCAATCTCAGCTCATGGAAACCTCCACCTCCCGGGTTCAAGCGATTCTCCTGCTTCTGCTTCCTGAGTAGCTGGGATTACAGAACCGCACCACCACACCTGGCTAATTTTTTAATATTTTTTGTAGAGATGGGGTTTCACCATGTTGGCCAGGCTGGTCTCGAACTCCTGATCTTAGTGATGCCCCCACTTTGGCCTCCCAAAGTGCTGGGATGACAGGCGTGACCAACTGCGCCTGGCCTGTTATCAATATTTTTATTGAGATTTTTATTTTATATTTTATGACCAAATAACAAAAGCAAAGCTTATTTACCTCTGGTACTAAATATAATGTCAAACAAAATAAATGAGTTTAATAAACTCCAACTCCACATTTAGATGATGCTAGAAACACACATTTCTTCAAAATGTATATCAGTATATTTTTATGTAATTAGTTAGGTGTAAGGATTCTAGTACAGTTGACCCTTGAAACAACATGGGGGTTAGTAGTGCCAACCCCCTACATAGTGGAAAAATCTATGTATAACCCTTGACTACCCAAAAACTTAACTACTAATAGCCTACTGTTAACTAGAAGCCTTACCAATAGCAAACAATTCACATGTATTTTGTATGTTACATATGTTATACACTTTTTTTTTTACATTAAAGGTGGAGAAAAGAAAATATTAAGAAAACCATAAAACATTTACAGTACTGTAGTATTTATCAATACCATAAATTATGTCATTTGTTTACAATATGGATCTGTCTGAAATGGTGGACAAGAGCAGCTACAGACCTCAATCTGTGGTATTCATCAAGCAATTCGACTTTTTCCTATAATGTCATGACACTGCTTCTTGAGAGCCCTTCTAGTACCACTAGTGGCATTTTTATGGATCATAGGTGTTATTCAAGGTTTATGGTATTGCACTAATCATGATGAAAAATATGCAAGCATGATGAGACATCACTTTTTACTGCAATAAGCAATTTACTGGAGAGATGAATGGCTCACATGGAGATGATTAGCAACACACAGCATTTTAAGTGGATACTCTCAACACTTGAGCTCATCGCAATAGCAACAGGAAGTAGGTACAAAATTATCACAGTAGTACAGTATATACTACAGTTAATTTTATGCAGTTATGATTTAATACTGCATCTTTATTTTGGTTTACATTTCTTTTGACTGAATGGTGCCATGTACTGTCTGTAAGTATGTATGTCATGTATGCTAAATTTTAACTTTTTAATAATAGGTTTCAGTATATATTATGGTAGTAAATTACAAACTAGACTAATATCTACATATATTTTATGCATTCATGACATACATAACTTTTTCTTAATTTTTCAATATTTCTAGGCTATGGGGTTCATTTGTGAGTTTTTTCAAACTTTTTAAATTTCCAAAAAACTTCCCACTATATTTCTTGGAAAATATCCAAGTATAAGTGGACCTGTGCAGTTAAAACCTGTGTTTTCTAGGGTCAACTGTATATAGAAAACTCCCAAAAACTCAACAATGACAACAAAAACGAACCTGATTTAAAATGGGCAAAAACTTCAATAGACATTTCTCCAAAGAAAATATACAGATGACTAATAAACACACACAAAAATGCTCAGCATCACTAATCATTAGGGAAATGCAAATCAAAACCACAATGAGATACCACTTCACAACCACTGGGATGGCTACGACTACGAACTGAATGTTTAAGTCTCCCCAGAATTCATATGTTGAAATGCTAAGCCTCAATGTGATGGTCTCAGAAGGTGGGGCCTTTGAAAGGTAATGAGGTCATGAAAGTAGAGCCCTCAAGAGTGGGATTAGCGCTCCTATAAGAAGAGACATGAAAGGGCTTGCTCCAGCTCTCTACCATGTGAAAATGGAACGAAAAGATGGTCTTCTGAAAACCAGGAACAGTATCCTCATCAACACTGGATTTGCTGGCACCTTCTCTTAGAACTCCCAGCCTCTCAAACTGTGAGAAATAAATGTTTGTTATTTAAATCACCCAGTCTATGGTATTTTTGTTACAAACAGCTAAAACAGAAAACAAGTGTTGGTGAGCATGTTGGAAAATTAGAATCCCTGTGCACTGCTGGCAGGAATGTAAAATGGTGCAGCTGCTGTGGAAAAACGGATGACAGTTCCAACAAAAATTAAACATGCATTATGGTATGATCCGGCAATTCCATTTCTGGGTATATACCCCAAAGAATCGAAAGCAGGGACTCAGATACCAATGTTCACAGCAGCATTATTCACAATAAAAGGTAGAAACAACCCACATGTCCATGGATGGCTGAATTAAAACACGGTATATATGTACAATGGAATATTATTCAGCCTTAGAAAAGAAGGAAATTTGGATACATGCTACAACATGGATGAACCTAGAAAACATTATGCTAAGTGAACTAAGCTACACACAGAAGGACAAATATTGTGTCACCTAGGTACCTAGAATAGTCAAATTCATAAAGACAAAAGTAGAAACAGTGGTTACCCAGGCTAGTGGGAGGGAAAAAGGGAGAGTTATTATTTAACAGGTGCAGGTTTCAGTATGAGATGACAAAAAAGTTTTGGAGATGGAGAGCAATGATGCTGCACAACACTGTAAATGTACTTAATACCACAGTACTCTACACTTAAAATGGTAAATTTTATGTTACGTATATTTTAATTTTACCACAATAAACAGAAACTGGATATTATCCCTGTCTCCCTGAATAAAATTCTCAAAGGTTGGGAGTTAGAGTCCAAATCTCTCCCTTTTTTTTTTTTTTTTTTTTTTGCACTAGAGGTGATTCTGGAAACAAAAAGGTAGATTCAAGACTTACTGGCCAACACAATATTAAAGATGCAGTTCTAAACATCTAAAGCAAAGTTAAACTAATTATTTCAGCCAAGTCTAAAATCTCACAGTTAGAAAACACTGAGGTTACCTGGTCCAACCCCTACTGAGAGGAAGAGGGATCATTTATATTAACACAACATCCTATACAGATGCTCACCTGGGGTCTGCTTAATTGCTTTTGGTGATATGACAGTCACATCTTTGTGAAATAAACTTTCTCTCTGCTTAAAAGCTTGAATCGTTCTTCCTTATATTAAGCCTAAATCTGCTTTATTGTATGTTGTACTTAATAGGTAGTTCTGCCCACTGGAGGTACACATAATACCATATGACTACTCTTTAAATAGGTTTAACAATGTATATGTTTGGTTGTCTCTTTCCAGGTTACATATATCCACTTCTCCTGAATTCTTCTTCACAGGACTTATTTTCCAGAACCTGCCCCTATTTTGGCTGTCTTCTTGTAGACAGACTCATTTGCCCATTTTGTGAATCACCTAAAATCCACAGTTCTTCTAAAGACTCTGATGCTTGCAGTGAACTAAAGATTGCAAAGAGATATGAAGTATTCACATACAAGTTTTATTTGTGCAGTTTCCCTCAATGACCCAAGCAATGAACACTGCAGATAAATTTTTAAAATTTATTCTATAAAGAACTGACGGCCAGGCGCAATGGCTCACACCTGTAATAGCAGCACTTTGGGAGGCCGAGGTGGGAAGATCACCTGAGCTCAGGAGTTCAAGACCAGTCTGGCCAACATGGTGAAACCCCATCTCTACTAAAAATACAAAAATCTGTCAGGAATGGTGGTGCGTGCATGTAGTCCCAGCTACTTGGGAGGCTGGGGCAGGGGAACCGTTGAACCCAGGAGGTGGAGGTTGCAGTGAGCCAAGGTCACGTCGCTGCACTCCAGCCTGGGTGACATAGCAAGACTTCATCTCAAAAAAAATAAATAAAATAAAAAAAGTAAAAAATAAAAAAATTTTAAAAAGAGAGAACTGCCTTAGCTTTCTCAATGTACAATTGTAGGGCATTCTAGTCATACTTCTTGCTATGGCTAGGTAACACTAAAATCTCTTATAAATTCAGTATTATTATTTTGACATTTGAATACAAGAAACTACATAGATTTTCTTCCTTACAAACTGCTTAAGCCTAAGTTTTATACCACTTACAGACCACAGTGTATTTTGGGGTACAAATATAATAAAAATTAGATGTACTTTAGTCTACCTACTTATTACAACATTTATAAATATCAGTGGTATATTAACCAATAAAATGATTGGGTAAACACTTCCAGAATTAAAAGAAAGACCAGATTAGTTTGAACAGACCAGAGTTTAATAGCTGGTTTTGATATTTTCCAGATAAAATTTGTTCTGCCTTTAAATATTAAAATACTTTAGCTACTAAATACATATTTAAGATACACAAAAAGTATATTTTAAAGAACAGCATTAACACGTACTTAGCCTTACAAATAACATTACTATGTAAGTGAATAAGTATTGATACTAAGCTTTTTCAAACTAAAAAATTCTGAACTTAAATTAGTTTATATCTTATATTTAAAATATCAAGTATTTCTGAAAACCATGTATGTCACAAACTTTTTGGAAATTCCTTATTCTCTTATAAGGAATAAAGAATCCACATATAAATTATTTGTAAGAGACATAACTCATTTTACACAAATTAAAATTACTTTACTTACAAACTGGCAAATAATTAAGGTAGTCCCAAATGCCAGTTAGCGTAACTTATCAAAAAATGGATTTTTTGTTTGCTTATTTTTAATAACATTTTTTAAAAAAAATTGCAAACAGATTTTGCAATGTTTTCTTCAATTTTGAGAAGTAAATGTAAACTATGAGAAAGTCATCATTTCATTGACATGACAATTTAAGATACAATTTAAATGGAATATATATACATACGTAGGTATATACACATCTGTGTGCACACAAAGTTTTCTTACCCCTGAACTTATCTCTGTGCCTTTTGGCTGGCTTTGCTGCTGCTTATGGTGTCCCGCCAGCAAGCTTCCAGCAGCAAGGTTTGGAAAGCTCTGAAGATAAGGCTGCGACCCTGAGAAATTTCCTTCTGCCATTCCCACCGTGGCTGGCTGTTTCTCCTGAGTATTACTGTGCCCTGGCCCAGCATGTCCAGCAATGTGCTGATTTGGAAAGAATGGTAACATGCCCATTCCAGCTGTTATCGTTGTTTGAGTTGGAATCAGGCTAGATGCTGTAGCAAACCACAAATGCAAAAAGCTTTTAGTTAGAAAATATTTATTCGCAATAGTCCTTTTGATTTTGTTAAGTTATGAGCAAAATGCAGAGAAACCAATTTGTACCTGTTAGATAACAGCAAAAGGTAAGGTTAGAGGTTGTTAATTAGTGGGCTCCTTTATGAAAAAACAAAAATCTACAATAGTAATAATGCTCTTATTTTCAGCAACTTTCAGGGTAACCTCAAATATATGAAATTTTTAAGTTTTTAAATTCTATATATAATTGTTAATTGGCATTTAAGCTATATTAGTGCTTTTTAAAATGCCCATTCATTGCAGCTTCACTGTTTCCATAACTGATGGAAATAATTAAGTTTTAAGTTTAAAAAGTTATCTGAAAGTAAAATTTAATGAAGTTTGACTGAATCCAATAATAAATTTGGTTAGCTGGCTTCCATTAGCTCATGAGAGCTATTAATACACACCTCCTCCCAGCTATTGAGTTAAATGTCTTCATATTGGTAACCTGAAATCAGTCACAGTTGGAGTATTCACAAACAGAAATGCACAAATGCTACAAATCAAGACGTTTTTTCAACCTAGAGAGCTTGTTGTTAAACACTTATCAGTATATCACTGGCTTCTTTCTTTAAATGAGTATTTGTTAACAGATAAGCACTAAATTTAATACATGAAAGTTTTATGTTTTTATTTATAGAAAATAACAAGAAATTCTGGGAGAAATAAAAGCAGTTTTTTTGTTTTTTGAGTCAGGGTCCCACTCCCATCGCCAATCATGGCTCACTGCAGCCTCGACTTCCTGGGCTAAGGTGATTCTCCCACCTCAGCCTCCTGAGTAGCTGGGACCACAGGCGTGTGCAACCATGCCTGGTTAATTTTTTGTATTTTAGTAGAGTCAGGGTTTTGTCATGTTGCCCAGGCTGGCAACATTCCTATTAAAAGTTTTAATAGGAAAATTCTGAACCGTTCCACTTTTTAAAAAATCTACAGGTCAAAATTAAATGGAAAAAGCTAATTTTGACAACTAAGATTTACCATTTTATAAATTTACTAAACAAATTTCTTCAATTATTTTTAGTAATAATCATTTAGAGATGGATGCTTTGGTTCCCCTAATGTTTAGAATATAGTTATCTGGACACTATTCAATGTTCTTAAAGCAGCATATACTAAAGTAAATAGTTTATTAGTTAATTCAACACAAATAATACACATTTACATAAGCTTTTAGACATGGAAAATTTAATTTTTTGGAAAGACAGACCCCATGATATCACAAAATTTCTTCACTGGCTTAACTTTTGTCCAGTCAATTTCAACAGTCAGAACTAAGTTATTTGATTACTGGACAAAACGTTAAGTAAGCTGCCCATATTTAATTGACTTTTTAAAAAAATTTTTGGTGGACCTTCTGTTTTTACTCAGCATGCTCACTTCTAAGCAAATTTCAATTAAGCTTCAAGCTGAAAATGCGCCCTTCAAAATCACATTCAAATAAGAAGTCTTAGTATAACACCATGCTCCTGTTTTCCTGCCAAAAAAGCTATTTTGTTTGCCATGTTTTTAGAAGCACATAGTACACACATTAGTTTTCTTTGACTACTGATTTAGGGGTTCAATTTTTTTAAATAATACAAATAAATAATCAAACTTTAAATATATAAATACTAGATTTTTAAAAATAAAAGTGAAAGGTTTCTTATCCCAAATGGATCCATATGTGCTGTCAGCCCAGTGGGCAGCATGTCAGTCTCAAAGGGATCTGTGTCTTTGCCTTGCACTGCTGTGAACCTGCATAAAATATTAAAGCATATCCAACAGGGAAAGTCTTATCTTGGCATGGAAGCAAGTCCATCAGTAACTTACCAATATTCAAAATAGAAAAAGCCAAGAGGGTTCTCAAAATTTTAAATGACTAAATAAAACTCAAATTTGACCTCCCTGTAAATAAAAGGAGAACATAAGTAAACTATCTTTAAATCTCAAACCTGACTGTTTACTGACTTCTCAGTAAATACACATCATTTACTTTTATGTGCTTCTCCATGATGATGTCCCAACTCCTTTTTCAATGGAAGCACTGACCCTATCCCTAGCGCAGTCTGAAATACCACAGCTGGGGGCTCTCCAAGTAAGCCGGGTTTCTACAAAAGAAGAAAAAAAGGTAAGACCCATGGCCATAAGATATAACCTAAAAAAACTTACACATGTGAAAATTCATAAACAACCTGATCCACAACCTGATTCTAGAAAAGAAATGAACTGATTCTAAAAGAAAAAATGATATCATACTTACATTATTAGTATGAATATTCTCAAACTTCATTAATTGTTGTTGTGCCAGTGGTATATGAGAAAGATTCTGAAGGAATAAATTAGAAGTATTACCCATAACTGAGCTCTGTGAAAATGACAAAACGTTGTTAGTTTAATTTTGAAAAGCTACATGTTGTATAACCCGATTCATTTTAAAGTTCAATTCTCCAGTCGATCTGAGTAAAAGTAATTGCTTCTAAACATAATATTTCACTTTCCAACTTAACAGGCAAAGTTAGTTAATTCTTTTAATAATATACAAGGGGGGCCATGCAGTCATGAAATTAATTCTACATTCTTTCATCCTTCCTTCCCTCCTCTCACCCCTTTTTGGTTTCAATGACAGTGACATTCTATTCATTCATTTATTTATTCATTTAATCATTCAACAAAGATTTATTGAGCACTTTCTATGTGCCAGGCACTGTGCTACTTAGTGAGAAGTACAATAAGATCTGCCCTCATAGATCTCACAGTCCCCTAAGGAAGGGAGCCATTAATTAATAAAAATAAAAAAACCCCACATGATTACACATGATAATCATATGAAGGAAAAATGCACGGGGCTATGAGAACAAATAGTGGAGGAATGTTATTTAGCCTGGTCGATTCAAGGAAGGTTTCTTGGAGGAACTAATTCTTGTACTGCAATCTGAAGGCTGTAGTTGAAGTCTGGGAGGGAATTAGGTGATGTTGGGGTGGGAAGCATTCGCATTCCAGGAAGAAGGACCAGCAGAAGAAAAGACCGAAGGAGGAGAAAACAAAGTCCTTTGAGGACCAAAACCAGGCTGTGGTAGTGGGACAGTGATGTGTAGTGAGCTGAGAGGCAGGAGGAGCTAGCTCAAATGTATGGGCCTTAAAGGTAAAGCATTTTGGTCTTTCTCTTAAAATACAGGGAATATTATCAACACTCTGAACTTCCCCTCTCATATTACTCTTCACTCCTTATTGTAATTAACTGTTTAATGTGTTGTCCCTACTGGTTGAAATTCTATAATAACATAGACTTTAAATGTTACATTCCACACAGTAGCCTCAATGATTAGCACAATGTCTAATACATATATGTCAGATACTCAATAAAATACACTGAGTAAATGAATGAATAAAAACTCCATAATGTATCACCAAGTCCTGTGTTAGATTCTAAGGATGAAAAATAAAAGCCGGATTTAGGACCAGATATTCATTCATTCAACTTATATTAAGCATCTATTATATATTGTTTGATTTGTAATTAGAATTCTATATTCTTAAACAGTACCTGAAATTAATGAGTAATGCTTATCTCTAATATTACAGACATTTAAATCTATAAACACACATTTAAAATATTTATCTAAAAAAAGTAGGAAACATATACTCTATTCTCATATACATGAGCTGTTTTTTATAATATTCATTAAATTTTAGGAATTAAGAGTTACTGTTCATTTATATTTTCTTTCTAGAAATACTTTTTTGAGTTAAGACCACATAAGAAGCCCTGTTTTGAACAAATGATTTATTATCTCGAAAAAATATACCACTTTCCTTCTCAATGCCATACAAATTGGAATCAATAATATTTATTGTGGTATATAACTACTGCTTTGGTTAGCTTAATTGAATCTGATGTACTCATTAAGTTATAATTTTACATAGCTATACTTATTAAAGATTTTCTTTAAAAGCAAAATACTCATTTAATTTCTTGAGAACTTTAAGTGTTACGAACAAACAAGATATTCACTCCAAATATTTAAAGCTTCAGTACTTAATGTTATTTATGTACCTGATGTGCTTTATTCAAATGTAAAAATGCAGGAGAGATGGATGGATTCATCAGATGTGGCAAGCTGTGAGGTGTCCCAAGAACGGCTTTGAGAAAATAAAAGTAAAAACTTTAATATATATATGGAATTAAAAATTTAAAAAAACCAAGCTTCGAAAAGGGTTAATGAATATTTCTTTAAACTATTAACAAATCCACTGAAAGTTCAATGACATAGTGACTTTGTCACTGGTCAAAAGTGACAGGCACCTTTCCCTGAGATTCAACCCTGGAATTTGTTTTAAAATTCAAAAGCCTTCTGCCATAATCGTAAAACTCCAAACCTAGGCTTAATCTTCTCTAGAATTTAGTGCAACAAAACATATCCACCTTTTAATAAGCACAATACTCATTTGAACCCATGTTATTTATTCAGTGGTTTTTTAGGTATTTCAGGCATTTTGGCAGAGGGTAGGAGTAGGGGACAAGATACAATCCTTGTCCTTGAAAAGCTTATATAAAATCCAATTGAGAAGACAATATATGTACACACAAATATTTACATAAAAAAATCAAAAGAAACTGCAAACTTGTACACAGACATAAAAAGAATAAATGGGAACAATACTCATAATCAAGTCTAAGAGTCTAAATACCAGAGTACGCTTCAAAAGGGATGTTTTTAGAACAGAAAACTTACAAAAGGGAGGCAGGGATGTGTCACAGATGTTTGAACCAGAGTGCCTCCATCTTGAATAGAAGTCAGGTAAAGTAAGGCTGAGACCTGCTGAGCTGCATTCCCAGTAAGTTAGGCATTCTAAGTTACAAGATGAGACAGGAGGTCGGCACAAGATACAGGTCACAAAGCCCTTGCTAATAAAACAGGGTGCAATAAAGAAGCCGGCTAAAACCTACCAAAACCAAGATGGCGACAAGAGTGACCTCTGGCCGTCCTCATTGCTACACTCCCAACAGCAACATGACAGTTTACAAATGCCATGGCGGCGTGTGAAATTTACCCTATATGGTCTAAAAAGGGGAGGAATCCTCCGTTCTGAGAATTGCCCACCATTTTCCTGGAAAACTCATGAATAATCCATCTCTTGCTTAGCATATAATCAAGATAATCAAGAAATAACCATAAAAATGGGCAACCAGTGGTCCATGCCTGTATGTCCAGGCTGCTATATGGAGCAGCCATTCTGTCTGTCTGTCTGTTTGTTTGTTTGTTTGTTTTTGATAGAGAGTCACACTCTATTTCCCAGGCTGGAGTGCAATGGCACGATCTCTGCTCACTGCAACCTCCGGCCTCCTGGGTTCAAGCAATTCTCCTGCCTCAGCCTCCCAAGTAGCTGGGATTACAGGCACTCACCACCATGCTCAGCTAACTTTTTTTTTTTAAGTACAATTTCCATTTTATTTTTCTCCAGAGAATAGTCTATCTCAGTCTTTAAGGACTCAGCTCCTTACATGGGCTTTGGTGGGGGATGTGGGGCAGCACCCACAGGTCTAAATTGGGGTGGGGGTGTTCGGTCTTTGTGGGCTTCACGAGATCGATTCCTGACTACTTTGCTGTGAATTGCACAACTCACACAGTAATGTAGCTTCACTACAGCTTGGGAAGCACATAGGCATCGAAGATGCTCGCTTCAGAAATGTCCCTGACTGCTGCGGCCTCCACTATGTTTCGAATGACGAATTTCTTAATGGCCTTGTCCTTGGGCAAGCATCAGGCACAGTTAGTGCAGTGAATAGGCTGCACGTGGCCACAGCCCTTTTTGGCACGACCATTGTTCCTTCTTTTCTTTGTCATCTTGGAAGCACGGACTGAAGAGAGCTAATTTTTGTATTTTACCAGAGACGAGGTTTCACCATGTTGGCCAGGCTGGTTTTGAACTCCTCACCTTGAGATCCACCCACCTTGGCCTCCCAAAGGGCTGGGATTACAGGCGTGAGCCACCGCGCCCGGCCTGGAGAAGCCATTCTTTATTCCTTTTCTTTCTTAATAAACTTGCTCTCACTTTAAAAAAAAAGGAGGGGGGGGGAGGATGTTTTTAGAATAGAGACACAAAAAGGACCATGAGACAGAAAATATATGAAGAAATTTAATCTAACTATTGTAAAACAACTGGAATAATCATAATATACAAAATTAGGCTGGGCACAGTGGCTCACACCTGTAATCCCAGCACTTTGGAAGGCCAAGGTGGGAGGATCATTTGAGGTCAGGAGTTCGAGACCAGCCTGGTCAACATGGTGAAACTCCGTCTCTATCAAAAATACAAAAATTAGCCAGGCATGGTGGCACATGCCTGTAATCCCAGCTACTTGGGAGGCAGAGGCAGGAGAACTGCTTGAGGCTGGGAGGCGGAGGTTGCAGTGAGCTGAGATCACGCCACTACACTCCAGCCTGGCTGACAGAGTGAGACTCCATTTCAAAATAATAATACATAAAATTATATATATATATAATATACAAACTCAGTGTACTAGTAACATCTTCTTGTAATATATATGTAGTAAAAGAAAAAAAACACTGTACTATGACAGGTGAAATAAATAAATGAATGAAATAAATCCTCATTCTAACCAAATTTTTTAGTATCCATCTAAGTCTACATTGGGACTGCCTCAGAAGACAAGAATGATATAACTTCTTGGTTTTCAGGAGTAGAATGATACCAGTGAGACAGCCATAGGAAACTATTTAATTCAACAGTTATCAATATTCTCTCTAGCAAAGGAGGAAGTGCCCAGAGTATGCAGGATTGGAGGGAATGTTTCATCCCAGAATAATTTCAGGAAAGTTATAATAATGTGAGGATACGTGGAAGAGGACTCATTTAGAATTCTATTATCTACTTCAATGAGAAAAAGGCATTTCTGAGTGGAAAACTGGTACACAGAAAATAACTCTTCTGCAAGTGATAGGGAATTAAGTGTGGAGAATTAGAGAAAATATTACTAGACTTAGACAAATAACTTCCGTATAGCCCCTTCAATAAATTATCCTGGGAAAATGGAATATTCATATGCAAAAGAATGAAACTAGACCCTTATCTCTCACCATATATAAAAACCAACTCAAAATGTATTAAACACTTAAATGCAAGGCTAAAAATTGTACAACTACTGGAAGAAAACATGGGGGAAACACTTGAGGACATTGATCTGGGCAAAGATGTTACGGGTCACACTTCACAAGCACAGGCAACAAAATCAAAAATAGACAAATGGGATTTTATCAAACTAAACAGCTTCTACACAATGAGGTAAACAATACGGTGAACACGTATAACTTGTAGAATGGGAGAAAATATTTGCAAATTATTCATGTGACATACGACTAATATCTAGAATATATACAGAACTCTAGCAATTCACAGCAAAAATAAAAATAAAAATAAAACCACCCCCATTAATCCAATTTAAAAATGGGCAAAGGATCTGAACAGATATTTCTCAGAAGCCATATAAATGACCAACAAGTATATGAAAAAATGTTCAACATCTGTATCATCAGTGAAATGTAAGTCAAAACCACAGTAAGATATCATCTCACCCTAATTAGAATGGCTAATTCTAATTATTAAAAAGACAAATAAATAATAAATGCTGGTGAGGATGTGGAAAAAAGGGAACTCTCTTACACTGCTGGAGGGAATGCCAATTAGTACAGCCATTATGGAAAACAGTATGATGGTTTCTCAAAAAAACAAATACAGAACTACCATATGGATCCAGCAATCCACTAAGGAATATTTATCCAAAGAAAAGGAAATCATGGCCAGGTGCAGTGGCTCACACCTGTAATCCCAGCACTTTGGGAGGCTGAGGTGAGTTGATCACTGAAGGTCAGGAGTTCGAGACCAGCCTGGCCAACATGGCGAAACCCTGTCTCTATTAAAAAACACAAAAATAGCAGGGTGCAGTGGTGCACGCCCGTAATCCTAGCTACTTGAGAAGCTGAGGCATGAAAATCGCTTGAACCCAGGAGGCAGAGGTTGCAGTGAGCTGAGATCATGCCACTGCACTCCAGCCTGAGCAACAGGGTGGGACTCTATCTCAAAAAACAAACAACAACAAACCAAAGAAAAGGAAATCTGTATCTTGAAGAGAGATCTGCATCCTGATGTTTATTGCAGCACTATTCACAGTAGCCAAGATATGGACTAAGTGTCCATCAACAGATGAATGGATAAAGAAAATGTGGTACATATACACAATGGAATACTATTCAGCCATAAGAAAAAAGGAAAGCTGGTCATTTGCAGCAACCTGGAGGACATTATATTAAGTGAAACAAGTCAGGCACATAAAGATAAATACTGCATGTTCTCCCTCATATACAGGAGCTAAAAAAGTTGAGTTCATAGAAGTTGAAGGTACAATCATGGTTATTAGAGTCTGGGAACAGAAGGCAAAACGGGATGATAGGAACAGGTTGGTTAATGAATACAAAATTACAGCTAGATAGGACAATTAAGTTTTCATGTTCTATAGTACTGTAGGGTGACTAAGTTAACAAACATTTATTGTATATTTTCAAATAGCTAAAAGAGAGGACTTTAAATGCTCCCAACACAAGGATATGATGAATGTTTTAGGTGGTTAATATGCTAATTACCTTCATTTGATTATTATAGATTATATACACATATTGGGCTATCAGTCTGTACCCCATAAATATGTATAATTATTACATGTCAATTAAAAATTTTTTAACGACAAGAACTTGAGTGGAGGAGTTAATTTTTTTTTAATTCTGTAGTTGAAGTACAAAAAGCAGAGCTTTTAAGACACATCCCTTCTTGTTAAATTAATGACCACCTGGGGAAATACATCTAAATTACAAAGCTCTAGATGTATTATCTATGAAAGATTAATAGAAGTCTCTTCCCTCAAAAAACTATTATGGAAACCACAAATAATAGATATCAAAACATTTTTAAAACTACATTACTTTAAAGTCACACATTATTGATGAAGTAGCTAGTAGTAACACTGCAAATATCAGAAAAGGATTTTCCAAGATAATAGAAAACACAAACCCACTTGGCAACTTAAAATATATTTTATTAAACATATAAACATCTATGGATAGATA